TTTAGATGTTTGTTTATTTTTCAGAGAGTGAGACAGAGAGAAAGAGAGAAGAACACAGAATCCCAAGCAGGATCCGCGCTGTCAATACAGAGCCCAGCTCGGGGCTCGAACCCACAAACCGTGAGATCATGACCTGAGACAAAGTCGCACGCTTAACCGGCTGAACCACCCAGGTGCACCCCCTTCACAGCTGCTGAAGCCCTGTCTAACGCCACCTCTTTTGTGACGTTTTCCTCAAACCTTCTGAAGCTGAATCAGTTCCTTCTTTCTTCGGGGGGGGGGGTCCCCTCATTATTCTGTGTTGGAATTATTATGTCCAGGTCTGTCTCCTCCGTCAGACTGGGATCCCCTCCTGCAGTGCCACCCAAGAGTAAGGAAACCACAAGACCATCTGTGACTATTCATGTGCTTCCGGCATTTGTGTAAGGTCTGGTGCACAGTGACTTCAGTAACTATTTGTGGGATGAATGAATGGTGAATGAATGAATGAATCCATCAAGAGAAGCCTAAGTGTCAGCAAGAAAACAACACTGGCTCTTGGACAAAAGGGGAGACAAGTATGAGAGAGAGATGAGGCCTCCAGGGTCATGGCTCAGCTCTCCTGACATCCCCTCCCTGACCTCTGTCCCTGCTTGCCACCTAGGACCCTGTCTCTTCTGGCCCCAGGAAGCCTCTGGATCTGACCACACTCCCCCACGCAGGGAGGTGTGACTTCTCCCAGCCAGCCCAGCCTGGCCCTCAGGGCCCCTCAGTGAGGCTGTTACAAAGTGTCTGGTTTCCCGTCTGTGGGCCATCTGTCCCTCCCCAGCAGGCTCACTGGCCCTTCTCCAGGGGGACACGAGGTCCACATTAGATCAGGAGTCCCCTAGGGGCAGAGAGAACAGCTCTGCGCCGCGCTGCTCGAGGGGGGCCTCTGATGTCCTGCGGAACCTGTGGTAATCCTCTCAGCCTCCGCGTCCACGGCTAGGAGCCGGCCCAGCTCGCGGGCTTACTGAGGGGCTCTCATAGATGGCACGTGCCAGCAGGCCAGGGACTTGGCTGCTCTGAAGGGCACGGCTGCCTGGCACACCAGCCTCCAGGCCCAGCTGCTCTGGGCCGCCTCCAGCTCACTAGGTCCTGTGCCTCACCCCCTGCCGGACCCCCCGGTGGCCCACTGTGCCCAGCGGGAGGTGGCAGGGTGTGGGAGAGGGGGCAAAGGCTCCGAGCAGGTCGCTCGGCTCCAGCTGGGATTTGTCCTGTGACCTGTTTCCTTACCTTCAAAATGAGGAAAATAAGACAAACCTCATGGAGCGGCCGAGAGGTTTACAGAGCAGTGCCTGGACAGGGCCCAGCACAGCGGCTGGTGCAGAACAGGGTGCTCTGTAAATTGCCGCTGACGCACAAAGCCCCCCCC